ACCATGATATACGGTTTGTTAGCCCTGACGTTGCCTGGCCCGATAGGCGACAACTTAAACATGGGTTTCTGCTTTGCGGCATGTTCAATGTGCCGTATACGTAATATCATATTTTTTTCGGCTTGCCTGGCTGCAGCTTTGCGCCTTACGTTGATTTATGTGAATACAATTTCAATTCAAATTTGACAATATATATTTAAATGCCAATAAAAGAAGCTACTTTTGGTTATAATAATAAAAATATGCTCAGTTTTTGTGTGGGAATTGCATTATATATCAAGGCAGCTCATTAAATACTACAAATAAATAAATAAATTATAAATGCACTTAACCAATGCATAATTCACAGAGAATAGCAATTATTTTAGCGCATTTAATCTTTTCTTTTTGCTTAGCTTGTTATTTAATTTTTATACCCTGAACCCATTAAAAATGGGTATAAGGGTATATTGTATTTGTGCAAAATCCAAATGTATGTAACAGGCAGAAGGAATCTTCTCCGACCCCATTAAGTATATATATTCTTGATCAGCATCAATAGCCGAGTCGATTTAGCCATGTCCGTCTGTCTGTCCGTCCGTCTGTCCGTCCGTATGTATGAACGCAAGGATCTCAGAACCTATAAGAGCTAGATGTAGGTGCTCCCAGTGTCTGCGCAGATCGAGTTTCTTTCCGATAATCGATAACTTACTCCGTTTCCAAGCAATCGATAAAAATCGATATCGATATCCTGTTTTTTGGGCAATTTTGGTAAATAATAAAAGCTAGAGTCACCAAACTTGACATATAGCTTCTAAAATAGAATTTTTACATATATGCATTTGATGTTGGAAGAAGAGGGTTCAGGGTATCCCCTAGTCGGGAGCTCCCGACTAAAACCTCTTGTTTAATATTTTTTCTGTGCGTTCTTTGTTATATTTAAATCCAACTAAACGGGCCGTAAACGCAAATATTTGTCTGTAAAAAAAAGTGGACAAAGCATAAAATGAATTCAACAATCAAATTATGCCCAAGCAATTGTCAACAAAAAAAAGGGAGGGAATTACGCAAAGTTGTTGCATTTGCATTGCTTTTGTTTTGGCATTTTAAAAAAGCATTTTGTTGATTAAAGCCTGCTGCAGCAGCGCATAAACTGCATTTGGCTGCAGTTGTGCAACAGCTCGAGCAAATCCCTTGCTTATGTCCTTTGTGAAATTGTTAAAATACAACAGCTGTTCCCAAAGGAAAACAAACAACATGGCAAAATATATTCAATTGAGCCGTTGTAATATTTTTACAGAGCAAACTCCAGTGTTGACAATGCCTTCAAAATGAATATCTAGCCACGCATATAAATGGCAAAAAATACAAATGCGATAAAAATAAACAGAAAAAAACAGTTGTCGGAAGCAAATCGAACTTGAAATGGCCTTAAAAAAGACGTGGACAATGCGGGGATAGCTATAAAATGAAAGATACTTAAGGCTTATATACTACTCTACAAATGTCAAGTTTGGTAACTCTAGCTTTTCAGACCTATGAGATTTAATCAAAGACTAGGATTGTGCTAGTGCGCGGCCACTAGTAAGACCTTTGTTCAACATTACAAGCCTCTAGCTCTTATAGGTTATGTAATCTTTCTCTTCAATAATACGGTCAGACGAAGGGAAAGACAGACGGAAATGCGGACGGACAGACAGACGGATATGGCTAGATCAACTCGGATATTGCTGCTGATCAAAAATATATACACTTTATGGACTCACAGATGCCTTCTTCTGCCTGTTACATACATTTGCACAAGCCCAATATACCCTTTTTAACCATTTCCAATGGGTTCAAAGTATAAAAATAGAACAAAAAATCGATTTTTTTATAGCCAATTTGAAATACTCTTAGCTAAAACGGACAGTGTATAAAAAATGCCCTCTGCTGGCCACATTGTGGGATCAGCTCGGCAAAGATATATACATTTATTTGCTATAATACCACCGACAAGGTCGTGCAGCTACTCAGTTTTTATGATTGTTGAAAAACACACAAGCACTGAAATTAATGCTATTCTTTTAATTGCATTTAATGGGCGCGTGAAAAGTGTAGCGATTGTTTGTTTAGGCAAGCATACGCTTTTTTTTACGCACATAAATCACAGGAAATGCTTTTGCGGCAATGGCAAAGCGAGATTTTATGATTTATGTGCCCAATAAATTGGAAATAAAAGTGATTTATATATACATAAGTGATAGAAGAAGAAGTGCTCGAAAGATTTGCCATAAACTATACATAGATGTTGAAAGTTTTGACAGCCAACGAATTGAAAATAACACACAGCACACACACACACACACACACATACACGCATACAATCTCATCATGAAACCAATGTCATGTGTGCGAGTTTTCATTACTCATACGTCACGTGTGCGTCTGGCGGAAATGCGTTGCGGCTGTCAATGAGAAGCCGTTGGCGAAAGTTATCGAAAGTTTGCGTCATGCGAAATGCAGGTCGAAAGCCAAAACAAATTTAATGCGCTTCAGTAGGTTCTGCTCTTTTTTTTTTATTTTTAATATGTGCCACAATTTTCTTCATATGTGTGTGGCACATAAAAGAGAAAAACGATTTTAACATTGTTTTTCACTATGCGACGTGCTTTTGCATGGCCAAATAGATGCTGAGCATCGGCTCGAAATGCTCGTACATTTGCTGTTTTATGCATTGGACTTGCCACATTTATTGAAGTTGCCGCGCAGCCTCTCCCGCCCCCTCTCCTTACCGTTCCAGCAAAAAATACACACGCAATTTGCGCTGCTTACATGCGAGCTGATGAGTGTTTGCCTCATGCCTTGGCCTAGACATTTTTTATTGCTAATTTCTGTTATTGCCTTGCGTGCGGCCTGTGTGTACACTCGTAAAAATATTTTTATTAGCACAAGGCGCTCTGACACGCCCCCCCCCCCCCCCCCCCCCCCCCACCTCCCCACACCACACCACAGTCATCCCCTGCCATTACGCCCACGCGAAACGAACGCGCGCTGCAAAGTATGCTATGTTATTTTTTTTTTGCGCACATTCAACATACGCTCGCTATCAATAGCTCAAGTTTTGGCTTTATATTGGCCTGTCGCGTTTTTTTTTTTGTTAATACTCTACCTTAGTTACAACACAAGCCACGCCCCCTGCTTCCGCTCTTAACTTTTTGCCACACCTTTTTTGGCTTTTGGCTTCAGCGCTTAACTTTGTCGCCCCGTTGGACTCGTAAAACTTAAGTGCTGCCAGGCCGAAATTTGCGCCCTTCTCTGCCAACAAATTGGCAGCACTTTTATGCCAGCTAATAACCAAATTTGTCTGCTCAGCTCTAATAAATATATAAGCCCGCATTATCAAGTTGCAAGTATTTTTGTTGTTGTTGTTGTGGCCATAAAACGTTTACACTTTTATGTGGAATGCAAAGTGTTGCGCATACAAATGCAGCCGTATTTTGCCAACATTACCCACACACACCCCCCCCCCCCCCCCCCCCCTTTCCCCATCTTGGCACTCTATCAGTTTGTTTGGCACTTTTCACAATACATTTCTGTGCGCACTTTCTCGCTGTTGCTTTAAGTGCTGACTGCAATTTGCCTAAGCGATAAGATTACCCGCAACTACGAATGTGTGTGAGTGTATACGTGCGTGTGTGTATGTGTGTGTGTGTTTTTCGCAGCTATTATCAGTTAACGCCAGCAATTGCACCTGGCTGACTGAGCTGATGCTCCAAGTTCTATCGTGCTGCCACGCTTGATTGCAGCTATGTTCTGTGCCAAACACCCCTCCCGCACCCCTCTCTTGTGCCAGCCCCCCTGCAATTTACAGTGGCTTCGCAAATCTGTGCTCAGCTAACTGGATTTCAACTGCCTGTTGACTGTTGCGGCCATTGATGTTCTTTGTTTCGGACTATTTGGCTCGCTTCGCATCCGGCTCAGCGCCTTATCGACGGCTGCAAGTTGTGTGTGCGTGTGTGTGTGGTCGCATATTTACTCAGCACTAGACACAGCTTGGGCTTTGGTGTGCGTGTGTGTATGTGCGTGTCATAGTGTATAGTCAAACTTATTTGTCAGTTTGGCCAGCTGCCTGCACTTGAGAAGAAATTTCATTTGTCATTTGTAAAATTCAATCGAATACTTCGAAAAAGTTTTCAGCAAGAAAATTCAATTAAAATTGAAGACATTTCCTTAACTTAAATGACATAATTTAACAAATTTTTTGTTTTCAAATTAGTCGTAAGTTATTTCTTAAACAGAATTTTGACTTTTGACAATAACAAGTCTTAAACAAATTACAATTAGTAGACCAACTAATATTATTTATAAATTAACTGTGACTGAGACATCACAAAGCAAAGGAAGAGTTCTAAGCAAACTTTTGGATTTAATATTCTTAAGCTCGCAGTGCCGACTGTCTTCTGTGCACATAAACTGAATCGAATTGTTAACAACTCTTATGGACTATTTACTACGCTCTTAGTTAAGCATTCCGAATGCCATTTAAATATATTTAATTTATGGTGCACATTTGCTATAAACATTTCGTAAGCTACCTTAAAAATTAATTGCATACTTTTGGGTGGTTTCAATTAAAACGCTTGACTGTATAAGGAAAACGCATTAAAATAACAAAATGAATAAATTGTGCATGTGTTAAGCGCACATCCACACACCTACACACACACACGCAAGTGCGCTCAAGCCGAACTGGCCACAAAACCAATTAAATTGTGGCTCAAACGAACTGTAAAACACAAAAATATGCGCGCATGCAATGAAGCGTGAGCAGCACACACACACACACACACACACATGCAAACACATGTATGCACACATATTTATATGCACTCGAAAGTTATGAAAGGCTTGCCTAGATTTTGGAGTCGGCCATTGGGTCGGCGCACATATTAAAAGCCAGCATGTGGCACCAAAAACTAATTGCAACAATTTTTGCTTCGTTTTGCAGCACTGTTTTCTCTGAATGCAGCAGCCGCACCATGGCTGAGCAGACCAGCAACAGCAGCAGCAGTAGCAGCAGCAGTAGCAGCAGCATCAGCAGCGGCAGCAGCAGCGGCAGCTCGCACATTGCCGCCGAAAGTGGACCCGATTTTGATGCACTGCGCGCCGCGTGCAATGCGCGCTTGAATAGCAGCCACCAGTTGACAGGTAAGCGTAGACATGCCACATGCCACATGCCGCATGCCACAGCATACAGTTCGCTTATAAACTCGTCTCTTTAGGTTCCTACTGTGCCGGCACTTTTGATGGCTGGCTCTGTTGGCCCGACACGGCCGCCGGCAGTTCCGCTTATGAGCTGTGCCCGGACTTCATCACCGGCTTTGATCCGGCGCGTAAGTGCCGCAATTTTGTTTGTTTTCACATTTGTTGTTGTTGTTGTTGTTGTTGTTTATTGACTGCCACAAAGCAGCAGCCGCTTTTGGCCAGTTCTGATTTTGACAAGCAGGCCAAACGAGAAGCCAAATATCAAACAGAATTTATTAAAGAAATAAGCAACGCACTCAAATGTCAGGCGCAAGAATACAATGGAACGGAAACGGAAATGCTGCATGGCAGCGCCCCGAGCAGGCCCACACACACATACACACATGCACACATACAACACACAAGCGTACACAGCTTACTCACACATGCGTAAATAAACCGCAAAGCAAACCCCACCTGGTTTGCTAATTGGCCGCATTCCCTTACGTGGGCGAGCTTTAGGCCGCATTTCCGTTTCCGCTGCTCTGGAATTAAAGCATATGTTTATTTTTTTCTTAAATAATCCCTTAACTGCTTTTAAAAGCCGCGAACAAATCAATTTTTTTAAGCTTTGATTTAAGTACACACACACATACACACACACACACACACACACATGCATAGACTTCGTGTCTGCTCTGGCATTAAGCAAACGCTTATTTTGTTGTTGTATTTTCTTTTCTGCTTCTTGAAAATACTTATATGTACATATTTGCCAGTCGAGTACCTCTGAGCCGCAAAGGCTGTTGCGGCTTGCTGTTTTTTCGTCAGGTGGAAATCAATACCGAACTGAAGTTTCGTTCGAAATATGTTTCTTATGCTAGGGAAAAAAAACCTGATGAAAAGCGAAAAACAAACAGCTTATAGCAGAGCATTGTTCAAGTTTTCAAGTATTTCAAAGTAATTTGTGCAAGCTCTTCAGTCAAGTTCTTGTAAAATACACCAACTAATACTCAGCCACAAGACAAAGTCAAATAAAAGCCAGAAACTTGCCCAAAAGCCAATAAGACGAGTGCCACTTAAATATTGAATTATTTTAATAAAACAGCTTAACACCGAAAAGCTATAGAAATTAATTTGCAATATGCCAAAAGTCAGCGTTGAGTTTGTAATGCAAAACTATTGTTAAAATTGGAAAGAAACACGTGGAATGTTTATGAATTGGAATTATATTTGATTGATATATAGATAGTACATTAAGTATATGTGGCAGATGCTTTACGCACATAGTTTTATGGCGACATACAGCCGTAATACATCCATGATATATAAAGAGTTATACTTTAATAATAATTCGAGTGCATAATAGTGTAAGGAACTGACAGAGGCTCTGCTGCTGCGTAAAGTCTAATCATAGAAAGCTGACTGAAGAAAACAAACGGAGAGAACAATAGTACAATATTTTGATGCAGTTATCAAAGGGTCAAATTAAACTGATGAAAGTTTTCAGAAGTCAGTCTCCCCGCGCTGTTGAGACGAACAGAATTTAGCAATGTATATATTTTGCTTGCTAGCTAAAGACAATTTAACAGCAAATCTATTTACTAAACACTTACTTAACTAATTAATTAGAGTATTCAAAATAGCTACAGGCATTGCCTTAGTACGATTATCGTATTATTAACTCAACTTACACACATTCACACAGCATTAAACACACCCACAACCACGCACACCCACAATATTAAATAAGCTATCAACACACACACAGCATTAAATGAACTATCCATACCTAGCTTTCCACTTAAAGCACATTTTACAAAATACAAAAATGTTCACATTTCACGCTATCAAAAACAAAGCGCGCTTAATTTGAACAGCAAAACAGCACGCGGTTTCCGCTTTAATTAAATAGATATATTCCGAAAATTCAGAATGGAATATCATAAACCGCAAATACGAAGAACTTCGCGAATTAGCCAAGCGTATTCCCGGTTGTGTTTTTGTTAGACAACAACAACAGGGCGCCGAATTTGTATACAATAATAATGAATTATGCAAAACTGCGTTTAATTGTTTATGCAGCGAAAAACAACAAATTTAATGAAATATTAAAGACATTTAAAAAGCACATATGCAACAAACGCTTTAATATTCACAATCAAGTGCTGTGCGGCAGCAATTTATGGCATTAATTGTGTGGCATGTCGATTGTTGCATGAAACGGGGCCGGGTCACGCCCACAGCGACCATGCAACAGCAACATCTCGTGTCTGAGCGAAAGTTGAATGACATTTTTGTGTGTTGTTTGTGGCAAAAGAAATATATAATAATATATGTACAAATATGACATGGCTAGCACTAGAGAGGGGCGGCTGGGTCGGGCAGCGGGCAGGCGGCAGGGGTTGTGTCGTGTTTAACAATAAGCAAATGTGGCTTACAGCACATTTGGCTTATGACTCGTTTTTTGGCCAGCAGCTCGCCTGTGGCTGAGACAGCGACTGCGGCAGCCGGCAGCGCCTCGGGGTCGCCAGATTGTACAAGATTATGTGCTTTGGCAATGCGCCGCCATTAACTTTTATGGCACTTCCGTTTGGGCGGATGTGGCAGTAGCAGTAGCTGTAGCAGTAGCAGTCGCTGTGGCAGTAGCAGTAGCTGTGGCAGTAGAAGCGGCAGCAGCAGCAAACATTTTTTGTTGTCTTATTTACCACACAGAGCGTATACGTGATTTTTTTGCGACTCTGCGTGCCAAATGCCGATAAAAAGGTAAACCCAAAGAGTGAAAAAGAGAGAGAATAAGTGCGAAAGGGATAGCGTGAGCATGCATTGCTGACAGCGCTTCACCTGTTAAATTCCCAACAGAACAGGCAAATGCCTGAGCTCGTTTTTTGCCCCATTGACCAAGAACACAATTCGATGGCCTTAACAATAGTTGTCGCTGCTGCAAGTATTTGTATGTGTGTGTGTGTGTGTGTGTGTGTGTGTGTGTGTGTGTGTGTGTGTGTGTGTGTGTGTGTGTGCGTGGCAAGCGTTTCTTTCAACAATTTCGATAACAATTTAACAATAGCACGACAATTGCATAACTCAACTTAGCCAAGGCATTGTCGCATGCTGCAGACATTCCAAACTTTCAAAGGAAACGATTTTTATGGCCAATTTCAATTTCAACCTATTTGGGGCATTGTTATTATTATTATCAATATTGTAGCTATCATTATATAAGCGCATTATCCACAAGATTGTAAGGATTTGCCTTGATAGTAGTGAGAAAAAATAAACTATGTCAAAGTAAAGTTATTTTTAATAATATTAAATAGGGGTTATTATTATTTAGTCAACCTTTAGTTCCGGTAAAATGTCATCTAACCACAGCCTTGACTACATATGGATATATTTTAAACGGAACCAATTAAATTTTAAACACAATCAATTAGTTGCGGCTTAATCGCTTACGTGGCGTATACGCAATCCACGTTTTAGTTAAATGCAAATGCAATTTATGGGCGGGCCCCAAGCAAATAGTTGCCGAAACGAAAATTTAATTAAAATATCATTTTACATAATCCATGACAAAATTCCACATCGGGCAATTAAATTTTATACCCTTTGAAAGTCGGTTAAAAAGGGTATTAAGTGCTTTGTGCTTAGATGTGTAACAGACAGAGGAAGGCAACTCCGATTCCATTAGGTATATATAAAGTCAATCTAGCCTAGTCCGTTTATCTGTATGCATATCGGAGTTAGGGAAATTTTCATTGTATATACTTCCCTTGTCCGCGCAGATCTAGTTTCATTCAAAGCTCGATAACTTGTCATAAAATTGTAAGAAATCGGTATCGAAAACCTGCATATCGATAAGAAAACAAGTTTTTGTGCATATCATGAAGCTTAACAAAGCTAGAGATAACAATCTCGCTATGTAGACTCTTGTTTAGTCAAGACAGATCCAATATATATAGATACTATATATATCAATATATATATTACTCATCTGGAACTGTGTATGAACGATTCGATCTATCAGAGCTAGAGAAATGTTGATTGCCCACGCCGATCTAGTTTCTTTTGAACAACCGATAACTTTTCCGCTATCAAAAATCTGTTTTATGAGCATATCTCGAAGCTTATAAGAGCTAGGGACAACAAGCTTGCGGATCCAAGAAATATATCTGTCTGCGTTTTCGCAAAAAATTGCCTTCGAGGCATTGTCTTGAGCCAAGAAAGTCTTTTTTCAAGAAAGTTTCTTTAGACACTAAGCATGAGTATCCCCTGGCCGGACACTCCCCACTTAAGCACACTTACTTGTTTTAATTAGTGTATTTAAGCTACAGTTAATTAGAGCACACCTATAATCGAGCTTATCAAATTGTAAAATGATTAAAATGCAAACACGCTAATTCGCAGGCTATGCGCACAAGGAGTGCGGCGAGGATGGGGAATGGTTTAAGCATCCGCTGACCAACAAAACCTGGTCAAATTACACCACCTGCGTGAATCTGGACGATTTGGCGGTAAGATTTTAGCCTTATATTCTATATGAGCTTGCAACACAATTAACGCACAATTCTCATTTGCACAGCGTAATCACAATGTCAACCTGATCTACGAGGTGGGCTACAGCATCTCGCTGCTGGCCATACTTCTATCGCTGGCCATCTTGAGCTATTTCAAGTAAGTGTAATTAATTAGTGCCTTAATATAGATTACTTAACGCTGACAGCCTAATAAACTACTATTTAACTCGAATGATCCGTCTTTCATGTGTTTCCCCTTTCATTCATCGAAAACCACTCAGAGCTAATGAGCCACATTTGCCAGTTGGCGTTATGGTTGCTTTGGCGCTTGGCGCCAAATTTTATTGTTTAACAAAGATGCCAAACGCTTCTCTAATCAAGCTCTGGCAACCTGCGCATGTGTGCGTGTGTGTGTGTGTGTCTGTTCATTGCACTTTTACTTACTTGCGCCCATTTAATCCGCCACACTTGACGTCGGAAATGAGAAAATATTTGCTTTCTTTCGCCCTTGCCGCCTTTCCGCCTGCCCTCCTGTTCTCCCGCTCTCCTGCCTGCTGTGTCGCACATCAACTGGGCATTAAATTGTGTGTCTCTTCTTCAAGCAGGATATCGATTAATTTCCACTTGTCTGCAGCACAATTAGTGCTCTTGGCTTGTTTATTATCAGCTCAGACAAAGCGAGAGACAGCCTGACAAGGCAGCTAAACTTTGGCTAAAGCGTTTTAAATTTGTGTACAAAAGACAAATAGAATGCTTGGCATAATATGTGATGAGCATTTTGCTTAGATATGATCCCAACTATTTGAATATGGGTTATTATTTAAGGCAAAATTTAATCACATATTCTAAGAGTTAAGTGCAGAGTAGTAAGATAAGCTATCCCAAGTTCTCGGATAAATTATTTAGAGAATAAATAAACTTTGGGCGCAGCATCAATTTAAAGGTAATGTAGTTAGGGAAAAAATCACTTTAATTGAGCCAAAGTTGTGGCAAAAATCCAATCAAGCCTTTGTTGGCAACATATTTGAGTCCGGGCAGGTTCCAATATTTCTATGTTCATCCATTTGGAGCAAAACTGATTTAAATATTATTGTAGTAAAACCTACAAATTGTTGGCATTACGGTCACATATTCCAAAGAAATGCTGGACAATGCATACAAAGAGCTGGACACAATTTGCATGGCATGCATTAATTCACCAGATTCAGCAAGATTTCATTAATATGCAGCTTGGTCTTTGGCCAGCTGCCAAATGCAGCCGAATTGAACAAAACGAAACGAAAACGGAACTAAATAAAACTGAGGTCAATGTTGACATGCGAGTGAACCCGTACACCCCTTTTTATAGCCTTTCTCTAACAGCGCCCATTTTGCCGTGTGAAATGCAAATACGTGCTTTCTTTTTTGTAAATGCATGTCAATATTTGGGAAAACAAATAAACGAGTTTTGGTCTGAAAAAAAAAAAACATTTGCTAAAACCACACAGGAAACTCTGTGTAAATGCAGCAGTTGAGAGTGCTCGACTGCAAGATGCCCTGCAGCTAGTCTCGTATATGCCATAGATATAGATCATATAGATCATATAGATCATATAGATCATATAGTTCATATAGATCATATAGCTCATATAGATCATATAGCTCATATAGATCATATGGATCATATAGAGCATATACATCATATATGTCACAGAGAGCATAAAGATTATACAGTTCATATAGGTCTCAAGACGTCCGATCAGCTTCAAACTCATTTTCAAAGATCTTTGACAAAATTAATTTTATAGGTGCCACGGGCAGGGTCGGGTTATACCCATAAGTATCCTATATAGACATAGGTCAAAATCTCCCCATAATCTCCCCATAATCTGGTGAAAACTCAACCGATTTTCAAAAGTTTTGTCTTTTTCTCCCATCAATTATATAGATCACACAGATACAGCATAGATAAGCAATCACCAAATGTTATGGTTAGATATCACCCACAATAAAGCCCACATCAGACGCGTTTCCTTATCAAATACTTCGTTTCTACCGTTTACCTGATTTAATCAAATATCTGTTGCTTATTTGCAGATCTTTAAAATGCGCCCGCATCACGCTGCACATGAATCTGTTCAGTTCCTTTGCGGCCAACAGTTCGCTGTGGCTCATTTGGTATCTGGTGGTGGTGCCCAATACGGAGCTGGTGCAGCTCAGCCCGGTAAGCAAAGAGGGATAGGGAGAGAGAGAGCGAAGGGAGGGAGATGCCGGACCTCCCTTCTGTTTTAAACCCAACCATATCTGACTGTAACTTTTCAGGGCTATTGCGTGGCGTTGCACATCATTTTGCACTATTTTCTGCTGACCAACTATTCGTGGATGCTGTGCGAGGGCTTCTATTTGCACACGGTGCTGGTGGCCGCGTTTATATCGGAGAAAAAGCTAGTCAAATGGTTGATTGCCTTCGGCTGGTGTTCGCCGGCCATTGTGATTTGCATCTATGGACTGGCTCGTGGATTTACTGGGAGTTGGGAACAGAATCTGCAGTAAGTGCATAAACATGGCGTCAGGCAACTGAGCATGTGTGCGTGTGTGTAAGTGTGTGCGAGTGTGTGTGAGTGTGTGCGAGTCTGTGTGTGTGTGTGTCTAGCTAAATTGATTGTGGACACACGCATACATGGAACATGATGATGATTTGCAAACTGAAATCAAATCAATTGTAAACCAGCTCGTTTGCAATTCATTAGATGACAATCTGCTCAGATTCACTTAACCCCCCCGCCCCCTCTCTGTCTTCCCCTCTCTAGCTGCTGGATGACCGACACGGACTTCAACTACATTCTGATAGTGCCCGTCTGCATTTCAATCTTTCTCAATTTGCTGTTCCTCTGCAATATTGTGCGCGTCGTTCTGCTCAAGCTGAACGCCCCGGCGAGCATTCAGGGCAGCTGCGGACCCTCACGCACCGTTCTGCAGGCATTTCGGTAAGTTCGTCCATAAACAAAGTGTTCTTAAAAGGACTTCAATTCAATAAAAAATAAAAAAAAAAATATGGTATTTTGGGACGAAAACAAAAGGCCGACTCGCCCGCGGGCCGTATGCGTAATCAACTTGTTTTTCTACAGCATCATTTTTCTGTTGTTGTTTTTCATTCGTTTCGCATTTTGCTTGGCTACGTTCGAAAGTTTTATTTTGCTTCATTTTACATTTTAAATTACGCATACGCCGCGTTGACTTGCATTTTAATACGCTCGTCGACAACGAATTATACATAAATACAAGTATTATTACAATGCTCCCTCACGCTTGTCTCTCTCTCTCTCTCTCTCCCTCTCTCTCTCTCTCTATTTCCGTGTCGCCTTGTGCAGAGCTACGCTGCTGCTGGTGCCCCTGCTCGGCCTCCAGTATATGTTAACGCCGTTTCGTCCTGGTCAGGAGCATCCCTTGGAGTATACATACCAAGTCATCTCGGCGTTTACGGCCTCATTTCAAGTAAGTAATTCCTTTATTTTTGCCATTGCTATTTTACCCCAAAAGCCAGAGTTGGCTCGACTGTTTGAATTTTATATATTTTTGTGCTAATATAAGCTGCGAGCAGGCTTTTCAGAAATCTATATTTTATCGGAAATTAATATTTAATAATAAAAAGTAGCTGGGATCATTTTTGACTACCTTCTCTCTTCCTTCTCCCTTCACCTTCCCTTATTTGCTCTCTGATATTTATTTCAATTTTATAAATATTAATATACATTTATTTTGATTAACTTTAATGCTGTTACACAGGGCATCTGCCAGCCCATCAACTCAGCACAGCTGCACCTTTTAGACAGGTTCTAATATTATTTTATGGCCCCGCACACAGGTTGAACACTTTATGCTGTTAGTGTATGTAAATTTCTATCTCAGCTGCTTGGCCTTTAACTTAAATCCGAAATCTTGGTATTTGCGTGTAGCAAAAAAAAAATATATGCCTATTTAATTGGCCAAAAATGTGCAGGTTGTGCCAACAGATATTCACCATAATTTATGTTAACAAGCCAAATACCATGTCAGAGCTTGTTTATTGGGAAGTCAACCCCCAAACCTTAATCATAAGCCATAAGCCATATCAATGCTTGAAGCCTGCGTGCCAAATTATTAATATGCCAGGCACATGCTCGCAGAACTCCCCAAAGCACGCAAATCTCAGCTCATTTAACTGCGACCGAGTTGTGACTCAGCAGGGTTATCGGGCGGGTAGAGGGGGGAGGTGCTTGGAATCAATATGCAAACACGCTGAGTGAAAATTTGATTTTGTTATTTTGTTGGATATTCTGTTAAATTTGATTTGGAAAACCAACGACAAACGTTTAAAGTAAGAGTACAAATAAAAGCAAAAACACACGCATAAAACCAAATCGAGCTGCAACTCATTTTCAGCTGTTCTTTTAGTTTCAACACAAATAAACTATAAAAAGCTGTTCGACAAAACCCGGGGCGAAAAAAAAAAATATATATATATATATATATCTTCAACACGCCGAAGATTTAATACCCTTCTAAGCGAGTAAAGTAAAGCTCGTAAATACTGAGTTTCATGAAAATATCTTGGTAAATAGAATCTTTTGCCTTAGAAAAGCTCATTTTTCGACCGATTCTTTCTATTGAGCTATACAATTATATATATATATATATAATTATATATAATCATGCCTATGGTAGCTAGACCATATAGTATTCCGATCCGATATATACCTCTTCCAACAGAAAGACGAACAGGAGGACATTCGAACAGTCGAGCATGGCTATATAAACTCGACTGTTGATGCAGATCTAGAATTATATACTACCATAGAGATGTATCCTCCTATGCATTACAAATTACATGATAAAATTATAATACCCTCCATAAGGGTATAAAAATACGAACTAAATTCCAATGTCTGCAGTTGCTGCACATAAAAAAAAAATCTAAATTCTCATGTGCTGCTCTGCGCCTGGGGGCGTGGCTGCTGAACACGCTGCAGTTGAATTACAGCTTCAAGACTAACAAATGGAACAGAGACTGCAGTAAAATTGCACTAAAAGGGCGTACGAGGGTTCGATCCTTAAAGCACGAGCTGAGTGTGCTGGCGTTGAGCCCTACGAGTTATTCAAGCAATTATCTGCAGAGCATTTGCTCCGAATTGTAGACTTTAGTTTCTTAGATAACTTATATATTTATTGAATGAACTTTTAGAGGCTCTTAATACGATTATAATATAATATAATAATTATTATTAAAAGTAAGCTTCCTTAACTAGAAGATACCCTCTTACACGATTGACGACGCGCCAGGGTATTAAGAGACAATACGCTGTTTATCTGTGACTTTTCTTCACTCGTTCGCAGACAAAAAAACACAAAAAACAAAACTGAGAAAATAAACTTGGAGTGACAAATTCAGAAGCAAAATACTTTTGCACAAATGTATTTAAAGCCAGTAAGCAGCAACTTTTTATTATTTTATTTGTTGTTGTCGCCCCGCAAATTGTAAAGTTTACTTCAACTGGTAAGAGGCACTTTTTTTGTGCCCCGTACGGATATAATTTCGGATTTATTGTGGCAGCTGCACAGTGCGCGACTCTCGTAAAAGATTGGGTACAACTTTTAAGAGCCATAAAGTCCATATTATTAAGTTTACTTGGGTCTGCACTAAGAACCGAAACTCCAAATGCGTCTAAGCAGAAAGAAGCATAAGAACTGCGGGATCTGCGCTTTTTTGGGGACTGTAAACAACAAGAAGGTGAAATATTTATCATAGACAACGCTCAGTCCTTACATTACATAGATTTTGGGGTAAACAATGAAACTATGCCATGAAATGTAAGCCGGAAATATAAATTGAAAAGCTACAAGCATAGCTCCCGAGCTGGGTTATCTGCATAGCTAGAAATATGCTTTATTTTGGTTGGAAGTTTTTGAAGTGTCATTGTCATTGTCATTGTCATTGTCATTGTCATTGTCATTGTCATTGTCATTGTCATTGTCATTGTCATTGTCATTGTCATTGTCATTGTCATTGTCATTGTCATTGTCATTGTCATTGTCATTGTCATTGTCATTGTCATTGTCATTGTCATTCTAAGTATCATTATCATTTGCTTTATTATTATTTTTATCAATTTTATTATTATTATCATTATTATTAATACTATTATCATTATTATTTTAATTATTTTTTCTCAATTTTTTTGATTTCCTTAAGTTTCTTGCCACAGTTTAAGATTTTTTTTATATAAATCCGTTTAGATTTTCTTTTAGCCCTAAGCTAGCGAGCGAAAATTCCTCTGTTGATCACATAAATAAAATGCATCGCTCAATGCCACTTGCTGTGCTAGTGCCTCGGAATTTGCTGAATGTCAACAGTGCAGAAAATAAAAAACAGAAATAAAAAACACAATTCTCATGACGTTTATGAGAAGAGCTATGCAGTGCAATCAACAACAAACGCTGATATTATCTCTGAACAGCCAGTGCAATTAGAGCTAAAGTCCTCTAACAACAACAAATATTTAATTTAATTTTATTGTCAGGCACTTTTATATTTTCCCTTTACCCATCAAATGCCGCAGCTGGAATTCCAATAAAGCTTAAAAAAATAGATATATATATTTGCCGAGAACTTCAGAGGAGCATATAAAACGTATAGAACAGCTGCTCCTAAGTCCCTTTAGCAGCAGCTGCTGTTGTTATTTTTATATAAATTGAATTGAAAACTTTGGAGTAAGTGTCACATGCTCTTAACATGGCCCAAACGAGAGCACATTTGTTACCACTTTGACTGTCTACTTTGCTAATTAGTTTTGCAAACAGTTTGCACTTTTGCCTTCTCTAGTAATTAGCAAATCATCAGCTCAAAGAGAGAGCTGCATGTCATGCAGCAATCAGAACTGGTTATTACAGAGTATTACGAAGCAGCTACTCCTACTCCCACTCCTACTGGCCCCCGAACACTGCGGAACGGCGCTGAGTAATGGCTAACATCAGTCTGAATAATAACTAGCTAAATAATATTCAACCGACATAAAGTGAGCTCAGCTGCTGGAATTTTTAGAGCCAAGGGCGGGCGTATAAAAGAGAATAGGTAAAAGCCGCAGAAAATCTTTATAAATGCGTAGCCAGCAACAAAAGACAACATAAAGTGAATACAAAACAAACAAAAGTCCGAGTCGACTAGTAATTACTCTGTGGTCCGTTCTGGACCACAACTGAAAACAACTAAAATCAATTAAAGTGCCCGACTTGCAGATACCCTAAAGCCAGCGCTGAGTTGTCGTTATAAACATTTTAGCTTCCTTCTGTATATACATATAAGTAAAAACATACAACATACATACAAACAAAATACTATGTTTGGTGGAGTACAGTCTTGCTTAACTTCGGTGCTTAAAGTCCGATCTTTATGAAATTTGAAGTACATACATCTGACACCAAAATGTGATTTTATACCAAGGAGCAAGGCTCTTGCTTAAAAAATGCCTGACTTATTCAAATAGTAAAATATGCTTAATCTATGCGTACGAATAGCTATAATATAAAGCTTTTATAATTTTATGCTAATGCTTAAAAAAACAAGTCTCAAAATGAAAACAAGTAAGCATCACGTATTTAGGACTCAAGCCTTAAGGCAGGTCATCATAAGTCTATCCAGCTGGTAACAAAGATTAACATGAACTAGGCAAAAATATAGCCACAACGGTTCCAAGATAAAGATAGACATCCCATTCGTATTGAAAGTTTACATGGCTACCTTTTATTAAAACCTTTTAGGGAATTTAATGTTAAAGTTTAAGCTAGCTAACTCGCAATTTTCTATGTTGCAACTTCAAGAGCTAAATAAAAAGGCCAAAGAATGTTGTCATGGTATTTAGTAGGAGTCGCAGGACACTAAACTATGTGTGTTTGTGATTGAGTTAGGCAGCGTGCCAGGACGTGTGCATTGGCAATCAAATGAAGCCCTTTTGCCAATTTCATTTATATGCAGGCGATGTGTGAATAGGCAATCCCGCAAGCAGACCCTGCACGTACGCAACTATGCATTAGAGGCATAGGTAGACACCCACGCACAATCACAATTTATTCTAGACAAATGACAAACAACTCGAGCTCAGGCAGAAGCCAACTGACAACTGACAGATACGAGGCACAGCTACAGATACTTTTGGAGGGCACAAATACAGCTGCGTCAAATGAATTGGCAACTGTTGAGGCTGGCCCCAAATATGGCAAATAAACCTAATTGCATTAGACGCGGGCAGCCTTTTGTTCGGACATAAGCATAATTGGCTGACACTTGCACATGCCCCCAAATAAACATTAATTATATATGCTTTTTCTTTTCGGGCAGGGCTTGTGCGTGGCCACATTGTTCTGCTTTTTCAATGGCGAGGTGATTGCCCAAGTGAAGCGCAAATGGCGCACGGTCTGCTTCAGCAATCGACCAAGGACAAACTCCTATACAGCCACTCAGGTCTCGGTAAGATTTCTTATGAGCTTCACATGCTTTTGCCTATTTTCTTCTTCAAGATTAAAACAGCTCGGGTTACGGCGCGTATAAGTAATGCAAGCTAATGAATGCAATAACTGACACACACATATACATTATTAGCCTAGACACAAACACGCACACATTTAGCCTAGACACACAACCATTCACTAACTCTGTGTTTTCCTGCTGTTAAACGCATGTTAAGCATACGCACACTCACATACGTACACACACACACACACACACACACACACACACACACACACAGCGAACCGTTTAAAATGCAGCGCACCGTTTCCAACCTGCCAACCACCATGATAGCATATTCTCAGTTCTTTTGATTGTAGTTCGTGCGCTGCGGTCCGCCAGTGCCTGGCGAGGAGAAGGTATGACTAAAGGACTTGTCGGCATCGGCCAAGCGACGCTCCTCAGCGCCCCATCGCCCACATCAGCAACAACAACAACAGCAGCTGCAGCAGCAGCAGCAACAGTTGCTGGCACAGCAGCAGCGGGCGAGGAGCCAGAGCCTGGGCATGACAGGCGCCACAAGCAGCTCGTCCCGCCTTATCGATGGCTGGCGCCATAAACTGCGTTTGCTGCGGCGCCCGAGCGTGGACAATGCGCATCAGCGGCAGCCGCTTATGGAGGAAACAGCTGGCAATTCGCAGCCGCAAATGGCAGCCAATACGCAAGCGGAGGCGGAGGCGGACAGGCCGACGCTGATGACGACAATAGCAGAAGATGTCGCCGAAGCAGCAGCAACAACAACTGCAACTGCAACAGGAATAACAACAACAACAACAACAAACAATGCAACTGAACAGCGAAATGGCACGGGCATGGGTTTAGGATTAGTATCGAGATCGGGCTTAGGCCTCGCACCCGGTGTAGGTGTTGTCATTGTCAGCGTCGATGCGAATGACCAACAACATATTGCCGATGAGGCGCTCTAAGCAACACACACACACACACACACGCACACACACACACACACACACACACACACACAGACACAAACAAATCGAGTCACAAAGTTCTGTTACGAATTCTCATAGTCTAAGCCAATTTTAAGCATGCTACCCGCCCAAATAAATAACCATACTTGAAACTAGAAACCAAAACAAACGAAAATGCACCCCACCTAGAAAAAAAAAACAAAAATATATAAATAGTCGCCCGCCCTTCAGACCGATAAACAATGTTAAGCTATAGCAAATATCAATGCAAAGTTGCTTTAATAAAAGAAATAAAAAAACTTAAGCTAAACTTTTGTGCAGCTAAAGTCATAAAATCAAAACATAACTGTGCAAAAACGTTCCAAGTTTCAGCTCTGCAACTGTTTTACAGTTAGTTGTTGAACAACGTTTAAAAATATAATCATAATATTTATAACAGTGCTGCAAAACTGAAAGTAGACAGTTATCGATAACTATCGAATTAAAAATGTTCCGGTATTTATTTAATATACATTCTACTTTTGAAAATGTGTTAAACTTGCAATGTTATCGAAATATCGATAGACGTTATACACAAACTATCGATGCAAGCAAACGTTATCGATAATTATCGAAACACATTTTATGTTTGAAAATGTAAAAAGCTAACAATGTTATCGATGTATCGATAGCCCCTATGCATAAACTATCGATTTAAGCAACAGCTTTCCAACACTACAACTAAAATATATGTATTCTTAGACCTAAGCTAGATATCTAATAACAAAATTAACAAATATTGCAGATAAAGCGAAGCTCCGAATTTGGCACATTAAAAGGCGCTCCCAAATAAATATGCTGCATAAAAGTTGGCGTAATTGTTGTAATAACGAAATGTAACTAGCATTTAATTTACAGCGAACACATATTCAGAAAAGTAAACTATTATATGATTATTAAGAATTTATGTGGATATCAAATATCATTGTTGTCGTAAGTGTTATGTGTCTCTATAACTAAATAATCATGCATATGTGGCTATTTATCTATACATATATATTTATGTGGTAAGCTAAGCTTTCTAACATTTTTTAAGCGCTTTATGTTTTCGCTATTATAGACGAATGCTTCGAAATCTGTGTATATGAAATAAATATATAAATGTATGTGAAATATTAGCTCGTTAAATGAAATTTCATTGCGCACTTTCCAACACTGGCAAGTACCTGCTTGCAATTTAATTGAGAATTAAACTTTTTGACAGCACTGTTAATGATAAACTCGTAGCATTCAAGTTGAATTGCACACTTTGCAACACTGTCATGTAGGTATGTTCAATTTTACTGAGTACTTAACAATTTGACAGCACTGTTAATTATAAACTCTTGGCATTCTAGTCGAATTGCGCACTTTGCAACACTGGCATTGAGATAAGTATTGTTAAGTACTAAGCCGCTGCCAAATGTCTGTTAATTAGCCAACTTTTGCGCTTTGTGTTGCCACTTTATGCGAATGAACTCCAACCAACAATGAATGCCACGCCCACGTTGCCGCCCTCTATTCATGACTGGCCGCCCGCATTGAATTGAAGCCCGCGAGCTCTCTGAACATGCCGGCGGTCTATACTGAATTGTACTTGTACGGGATGATAAATTCCGCCGGCTGGTCCATTGTCTATTGCCGCGCTAATTTTGTCGACAACGCAACAGTAACCACAACAACAACAACAACAAGAAGAGCAACAGAGAGAGGGGCGGGAGTGGTGCTGGGGGTGTGGCAGTTGTTAGCGCTTTGTTTGACATTTATTGTAACTTATTTGTACAAAACAGTTGACGTTGGTTTTTGCCACATTGCCGTTGGGCCGCGCTGTGTTGATGTGGCTTTAATGATGTCGCTGATTGTGTGGCAGGTTGCCATGGCATGCCGCATGTTGCACATAAAATGCAGCCAACAGCTGTTGCCTCGTCCATGTTTTATGCATGTTAAGCAACGTGTTAAGTGCCATTTTATTGCGCCCCAAATTGAGGGTGTGTGTCGATGAGTGTGTGTGTGTGTGTTGTGTCTGCAAACTCGTGACTTCTCTTTCATATTTTGTAAATAATTCGCAGTTTATAAAGCGCGTTACTCATACGCCCCATGTGACAGAGAGAGTTCAAACTTTATGCATCAGGCAAATACACTCAATTATATTTGTATGTATATATGTGTGCGTGTGCGCGTGCGTGTGTGTGTGCGTGTGCATTCGACTACAAAGAGTGAGTCAAGCTTTAGTTAAGTGCATGACAAGTCTCCGCACCCGGCAGCTATGGATAATGCATTTGTAGCTAGCAAATTAAAAAGTAAAAAAATGATTTTTCTTTGAAACACTCAAACACTCTCATTCAGGACTCGTGAGAGCGCTCAAGGCTGCCTGAACTGGACACCTTTTGGCCCCAACTCAAGAGCGACTCAAGCGGACAGTCATGCAACAACAACTTGAATGGCTGCAACGACAACAGATTTTGCACACACTCGTACAAATAAATGTACAAGAAATTTTAAGCGCAAAAATTCCACTGGAAAAGGTTTACAACATTCTTAAAGAGTTGTAGTGTTGCACAATACGGCAAATTTAAGGGAAAGACTTAGAATTGAAAAGCTTTCTCATATTTTAAGTCATTTCGATGCAGTCAGAAACGTTTTTGTAGGTAAAAATGTATGTTTACAATCAGGATAAAAATTGCATTAAAATTTAAAAATGTAAGTGAAAAAAATTATTTTGGAGATTAAATACCCTACCAGACATAGAACAGATCTAAATAGCCTATATTTCAATACATAAGATTTACTTTTCTTACAACAAATCTTTGCTCGACGAATAATTTTGATATAAGAACCATATATGCTTGTAACAGCCTCTGCAAGGGTATTCAAATGTATGTAGATACCCAACTCTATTCCAGTTAATGGAAATTGAGATAATTACCCAATTGCATTACAGTTATATTTAGTACATTTATACATATAATAAAGCAGGCCTACCTGCATAAGAAAGCTCTTGTTCTTCCTCTCACTCATTCTCTCTCTCTCCGTGGATGTGGATAACGTTGGATAACGCGCCAATTTTTACTTGTGAAAAAAGCTCTGCAGCAAAAATTTGCAAGCACTTGAACAGCTTAACGCGTATTATATTTCAATTTAAAGGTGTAGAATGGGTAAAAAACTTATATATAATCACTTCAACACACACGCAGCATAAAAAACTGTATTATCAATTAAACTTAACAGGCAATCGATTTGATACACACGCGCCGCAGATCCAACCGATCGACAAAACAGACGCACACTGACTAAATTGCCTCATTAAGCTTGCGCCCACGCTAAGCCGACATTCGCAGCAACAACAAAGAGCACAATCTTTTGCGCTCACGCCATCCACAAAGTAACGGGATCAAAAGCGCTAGGACCAATGGCGTGAGTGGAGCGGTCATGTGCGTAACCTCAGCCCCTCCCGTACCGTCCACAAGCAAGCATTGCAGAGTCAAGAGTGTGTGGATAAATTATCGCCCACGCTCACAGCAGCCACAATATCCACTCTCCGGATAATTGCTCTCGGTGAGTGCAGTTATCCGTGCAACTGCGCTAAATGCAGCCAACTCACAATGTATCTGAGCTTTGAAGCTTTTACCTGCTGACCTTTTAGTACAATGTACTAATTATTTGTACGATCGTATTGCTGGCCGATTCCTGACATACTTTCTCTAAATAAAAATATAAAAAAAAAATCTAAAAAAAAAATAGTTTAAAGATGTTTTTATTAAGTTACGACTTGTTTAAAATTGTATTTTTAAATTTTTATGACAAGTTTTCTATGAATAAAATTCGAATTCCAACTGTTTTACCAAGAACAACTAATTTGCAAAAAAAGCATGTGAAAGAGTTTAACAAAAGTGAGGTAAAAAAAACGATGATTAGCATATTTAGTACAGATTACAACCGCAGATTCTAATTAAAAAGGCAAAAAAATTTGAGCTTCAAAAGCAGGCAGAGAACACATGTAAGTGAGTGTAAAAGTTGCCCCTTCACCTTATGCGGCTTCTGCTGAAAGTAGTTTTTTTTTGTTTTGCCTCTGGCGCATTTTGCATAATGAACTCTATTAAAAGTTGGCTGGCTGCCAGCTGCAGCCAGCCGATGGGATGCCTAAGCGAGGAGCTGTGCGATGTGCCCGACTATTGCGTCTTATCCTTGTGCAGCAGCTCCTGTTTGGCCAGCAGCTGGATGCGCTGTCCAACGATTCCCAGCGGCTTGCGCGGCACCAGATGACAAGTTGATTGCCTGCCAAGGAAAAACACGTGTACATATAGAAAGTATAAATATGGCAGTCGGGTATAGGCGACTGCGTTATACTCTACGGCTACGGACGGATAACTTGACGGAGAGACGGTAAGACAAACGAAAGAACGAACAGACAGACGGACGGATAGACAGGCATATGGATAGCTAGACTCGCAAACAAAAGAGCGGAGAGACATAAGTACGAACGGATAAATGGACATACGGAAAAATGGATAAATTGACAGATAGACGAACGAATTGGAAGGGCGAACGTACGGGAGAACGGCCATTCGAATAATTTGGAGAGAGAGAGAGAGCGCACAGACGGACCAATAAACGGTCGGATATTTTGACGGACGGACAGTTGGATAGACGGACAGCTGGATAGCTCTATGGGCAGAAGAAGATACGAAACGATAGAGAATCATACGGACGGACGGATAAATTAAAGGCGAGTGGGTGGACGGACAGACGGAAGGACTGATAAGAACACGGAGGGGCACTCAACGAGCGGACGGACGGATGTAAAAAACTGGACAGACAAAGAGATAATAGGCCGTAGAAGACGAATAACTAGCAAAACGCATAGACGGATACCAAGACGGACATTTCACAACAACTAATATACCCTGTGTCACTTTTGTGAGCGAGTATCAGAAAAAAAACACATTAGTAAATCGACATAAATTGGCCGGGTCTGGCAACTCACTTGTAGATGATTTTCTCACGATCCGCCCAGGGCCAGCTGCGCTCCAGGTTATCCAGCTTGAAAAGCAGCTGCAACAAAAGGTGACAATGTCAAAAGCGTGCGTGTACAGGTGTGTGCAGGTGTGTGTGCATGTGTGTGTGCAAGTGTGTGTGCCGCTAATGAGGCGCCGCATTGATTGCTTTTACCTTTTGTGACTCGGTTGGCGATGCTATTGTTGCCTCCACATTCGCCTCAAGCGTGCAAGTGGGCGTGGCGGTGGGCATGGGCATGGGCGTGGGCGTTGGCGTCGCAGCGCGCACCTTTGAGGTGTCAATCGCATTCCCCGGCAACTCCAGCTGCGGGCTGAGCGTCAAATCTGTTGCGGCATCGACATCGCCTTCATTAATGCGCAGCTTGGGCACATAACGCAGATTCCAGGTGTAAGTGGTGCTCAGGAAATCGCTGTCATCCTCATCGTCATCCTCCTCCTCGCTGGAGCTGGCAGAGGCCACTGCAGGCAGCTTCATATAGTAAACGGTCTTGTGCGCTGCCAAGTCATCATCATTCTCCATCTGCACTTGGTCCTTGTCATTGGCATTGTCATTGTCTGGCTCATTTGTCGCATAATTGACTTCCGATGCATAATCCGATTCGGGCGTCAAATCCTTTAGCTGCTTGGCTAAACATTCCGACACGAGCTCGTCATCATCTTCGTCATCCGGCACCTGCCCCAGATCATCCTCCTGCTCCGCGTCCTCCCCCTCCTCATCCTCCTCCGCCTCCTCCTCCGTCTCCTCATCGCCGCTGGCCAGCTGCTCGAGCAGCTCATAGTCTAGCGCATCCTCATCGTAGGAGAACTTGCGCTGCATGTGGCTCAACTGCTGCTGTTGCTCCTCCTCGGCGCTGAGGCTGCCAAAGGATTGGGAGACGGTGGCCAGCGTTGAGCTTAAGATTTTTGGTATTTCCGCAATGGCCGACAATTTGCGCTGCATTTCCAGCAGGCGCAGCTCAATGGAGCTGGGCAGCACACGGCCTGCACGAGAAGCAAGCGATGACACAGAGACAGGCTTTATGGCAAATGGCTTTTATGATTTATTGCAAATACACACAGAGACACACACACAGAGACAAAGACAAATACATATGCAAAAACAGCTTAAGATTTATGTACACGAATTCAAAGCAAAAACCAAGGCGTGGGTTAATTGGCTTGGGTGCGGGGTGGGAGGGGGAGTACGGCTTGGGGGCTGCGGTTTGTGGCCATCACTTGGACTTGGATGCCGTGGGCAGAGCCAGCAGCATGTTCTCGATGGTGCTGCTGCGCAGCTCCTGATTATCGCCGACCTCCGCAAAGAAGCGTTTAATATTCCGTATAATGCGATGATGCGGCAGCTCCTGCGTGGCATTCGAGCGGGGTGGGAGAGAGAGAGAGAGAGAGAACAGGTGTTAATTAGATTGAATATGTCAATAGATTGGCATTCAATCACCTGATCCTCCTCGTCAGAGGACTCATCCTCGCTCAACTCAATGATCAACTCGTTGCCCTCCTCATCGAGTTGGGTTTTCGTTTTCTTTTTCTTGGGCTTGGGCGGCTCGGGCGGCTCTTGCCACATAATGGGATGCCAGCAGCGCGAGCCAAGCAATGGGGTCGGGGTGAAGTCTACAAAAAATATAAGTACAACCAAATTCTTGTGATCACACCAAATGCTACAACACATCATGCCGGGCGGATGCTTGGGCGGGATAGAGCGCGGAATTGGGTTTGGATTGGGAATGCATATTGGATACATGCTCTCGGTTGGAGCAAGTGCTCCAGAACTTACCCTTTGGCGGCGGCATTGGCTTGGGCACACGCATCACAATGGACTTCTCCTCGCCGGCCTCGTACATGCCCATCGCATCGTCCTCCTCCATGCTGTGCGAATTACATAAGCATAACAAATATATTTCTAGGGTATTTATGGCCAACTGGGGCGACCTACTTGCGCATGAGAAAGTGCACCTTCTTGGGCGTCGCGTTGATCCGTTCGTGTGCCTGGGCCAGTGTCAGCTGCGTGGCGTCCTCTTCGTTAATCTCGAGTATTATATCGCCCAGACGTACGCCCGACTTGTCGGCTATACCATTCGGCGTTACCTGCATAGAGACAGACAGCATTTACCCCTTAGCCATATCAATAGGCCATATACATACTATAGATATCCTAGAAAATCGTTGAACTTTCGATTTCATGTACCGCACGAGGCAACAGTCAACGCGCAATTGTTCGACAAATGTTGCGTAGCTCGAGTTTGGGTCGAACAAATACTATATATACTATATATATATACATATGATATATGACAGACAGCTTCAGATGGCTGCATATTCGTCTATAGATATATGTATTTAGTTGTAGGTCTGCTCCCAAAACACACAATGAGATACTTGTTGCATGTATCTCAAAAGTGTGCGCTACAGCAGAACGATTAGGCATATGGCTTAAGATATAACTGTGCCCTTTATGAAATAATTATGGAAAGATAGCTATTTCTATTTTGATCGTTAATATATGTTCATTTATAGTATACTATAAAATAGGCATAGTTTGACCAAATTAATCCATTCGCTTTGTATACTCTACATTTTTTATATCGTTTACAGGCTGCATACAACTTCGTCTATGCCCCACTCAAGTAGCGTATGCGCATCGGCCCAAAAAAATAACAATTTATATTTTTGCCAGACGTCAAAACCGAATGCAATACATAGAAATACTTAGGCAGAAACACTTTTAACCCAAATATTGTGAATTTTCCCCAGCTCAAGAGTAAAAACAATTGAAACGAGAACGAATGCTGCCCCGCCCATCCCGCTGCCCGCCTTTGTCTTTTGTCATCAGCTGCACGGCAATTGTCGCTCATACGCCCCATCGCACGAGCGCCGGCAAAGTGAAATATTCTTTTTGCTGATTTCGTCATAGTCGAAAAACTCGAAATATACGAAAATGTTGCTTGTGTTTATTTTCAATACCCTGTACGTATGGAAAATGGGTGAAAACGGGGTATTATGGTGTTGGGAAAACGAATGTAACAGGCAGGCTGAGGAAGACGTTTCCGCAGCAGAGTCGATCGAGACATGTTTGTGGGTTAAGATTATAGATAATTATCGATTAAGTAAATTACTATTATCGATTAAGGTAATCGATATGTATCGATTAAGTATTTCACTATTATTGATTGAGATTATCAATAAGTTTCGATTGAGTATTAGACTATTATCGATTAAGGTTATCGATAAGCATCGGTTTAATATTTGACTATTATCGATAACTAGGAAACGCCGAAATATTGAAGTAAAACAAACCTCTCGTTGAGAAAAAGAAACAGCAAAGACGCTTCTAGCTTGCCTATGCTTATTTTTTGTAGAGTGCAACTGGAATCTATGTAAAGCAGCTGGTAACTTTATACAGGCTATCTGCTAGTCGAGCACACGCACTCTTAAGCGCTTTTGGCCAGCGACCAAAAAGAAACGCGCGATGACGAAATAAGAATTGCAGCTGTCGTAGCGTCAATTGGAAATTGGAAAGGAATATGATTGGACTGAACAGTTGGGCGGGTTCTCAGGCTGAGTATAGGGAAGGGGGGAGGGGGGAGGGTGGACTACAAACAGTTAAACGAGCGTTATGTTAATTCTCCCTCCATTTACGTACCTGAAAGACGGTTAAGGGCATGTGAAATTCGGCGCCGCCGGTTATCAAAAAGCCCCATTTCTCATCATCCTTGGAATCGTAGACATCCGATTCCACATCGAAGGCGGGAAAGCCGTCCGTGTCGCCAATGCCGCAGGATACCTTGATAATGGGCGCCTTCTTCTTTGTCTCCGGCGTGGACCACAGTATGCCCAGAGGCTCGGGCATCTTGTTGTTGTTCCCTTTGCTGCTCCCTTTGTTTGTTTATGTTACTCTTTCTCTGTCTTTCTCTCTCTCTCTCACTCTCTTCTGGCCCGCCTCTTGTTGTTGCTCTTTTTGCGTGGCTGCTCGTTTTATTTATAAATCCAACAGCCTCTCCCTCTCTTAGTCCCTTCCTCTCTGTCTCTTGTTATCTGCGCTCTTTGTCTGGCTTTTTATACAATTTGTTGCAGTAGTTTTTGCTTTTGTTTTTACTTTGCTTTTGTTTTTGCTTTTACTTTGCTTTTTGCCTGTCAAAATTCAGCTGCCAAAAAAATTAACCCGTGCGAAATTGAGTTTTCTTTTAATTTTCCTGTGTTTTGCCGGCTTTTCACTTTCCGCTGGGCATTGACTTTGCGGAAATGCTTACCACTGAGTTTTCCTTTAATGCGTCTCTTATATAATCAATTTTCACGCATTGCACAATGAAAACGATTTGAAAATTTCCTTGAATTTCTACGAAATTTTTAATTGCACATTTATGAGTTTGCCAATTTCCAGAATTTAATACGTGTGTTAATTATGACAGCAAATTTTTAATTGAAGTATGCTGGGCCTTTTCTCCCGTTTTCCTTGGGCTTTTCCACAATTTTCTTTGGCTTCCACACGTTTGCACACGCCTCGGGCAACTAAAACTAAAAGGCAAAGCGCTAATATAATTTCTAGAAGTTTGCCTTTGTGATGCATTCGCTTTTTTAATAGTTGCCGCACGGTTGCTGCCTTTTCCTCATGCCCCAACCCAAATGGGGTAGATTAGTTTCGGGAAGTGAATGGTAAATAAATGTTAGATATATGTATATATACAACTCCTAAGAAATAGAGAAAAGTTCTTGTCTTAACTTGAATTGGAATCAGCCATGAACCGGCTATGAATCAGTTATGAATCGGCTATGAACCGGTTATGAATCGGTTATGAACCGGTTATAACATGGTAATAACTCGATTCTGATTACCAATCGAACTGGTTCTGGTTTTCTACTTTAAAGTAGCTTATGAACCGGTTACAACCCGATACACTTTTGCTTTAGATTTTAGCTGATGGTCTTAACAACATAGAGTTCTTCTTAAACAATTAAAGAAATATATATTCAAATATAAAAAAGAATTTCAGATTTTTATAGCTATATACTAGATGTACTTACCATTACGTATCGGGTATATCGCAGTCGTTGACCGCTTGCATATCATTCTTTGCACGTTTTCTAGATCTTTTATTTTTGTTTCTCTGTGCTGGGCATTGGGATAGGTCCGTGAAAAGTTGTTCTCACACGCAAATTGTTGCTGCTAGTTTGTTTTTAGTTTTTATTTAGCTGACAGCACATTGTTTGCATCCAGTTGCAATTCCTCTGCTTTTTACATAGTATATATTCCAAGCATGTTTATAAATAAGTTGCGCGTGCACAGTTCTTGCGTTTGATTTTAATGATATTGTTTGACATTTTTCTTGGTAAGGTACATTGTCTCATTAGCGAAACACGTAATTGGGTATTATTCGCATATTTTGTTTACGCTCTGATTATTTTGACATGAACTCAATATTCTTGATTCAAAAGTGTGCCGCTTATCTGGTTAATGTCAAAAGGTTAGCCTGCAAAACCATCCACAGGGAATTTCATCAAAATACGTTATTTATAATTCCTGGAATATCAACGATTGACATTTGTACGACACGTGAACCGATTTATCGATTGAAATGTTTGCAACTATACGAATTAAGCAGATACAACCACAGGCTGGATATTCATTTAAAAGGTAAATATTAATGATTTACAAATTTGATAAATTAATAATATATTTTAATCAGGTAAACATTTCTAGAAATACTCCGTATATATCCAATTTTTTTAGTTTTTTTTTTCATAATTTATTTATTAATAATAGTTTATCTTTATTCATATTTTGTCGATAAGAATGTTTTTCGATATTTATTGCTTATCGATAACATGCACTTTAAGCACTTATCGATTAGCTGTTATCGATCTTTGATAGAACGACGTTTTAATGAATGTTATCTTTATCTTTATTATTCGAATTATTTTTGATTAATTGTTAGCTGAACTTTTGACTTTTTATATGGCTGAAATTAAGCTTAAGTCAATATTAATTTTTATAGAGCTTTAAAATTGTTTTGAGTCGTCAGCATTTGCTATTTATAAATATTCTAAATTAAAACGCAACATGCTTCTGCTTTAATGAAAATTATTTATATATATATATTTACATAATCAGTTGCTTTCTCTCGACGTCAACAACATTTACATATGTGTCATATATGCGAAAGTCCTTCAAACTTCTGCCGGAGTCCTTGCACTCGATTTCAAGGCTTCATGGAAAAGTTTTCACAGCTTTTCGCTTTTTACCTATGGGAAAAGCTGCTTGGGAAACTCTTCAATAAGCCCCAAAAGTTCAAAATTCTCAGCTGACATCGAAAAAAAATGGACAACAATCCAGACAGCGACTCCTTATCAGCCGGACATACCTCGCCCGCCCACAGCCTCCACCACATTTCTTGATGAAGGACGGCCAAAGGTGATAGCTGCCACAACAACAACAACAACAACAATAAGGCTGATGACGTCACGAGCTGCGATAACAAACATTTGGCATATTTTGAGTATTTGTTTTTTGTTTATTTATTTGCTAGTTTAAAGAATACGATTATTGAATTGGACACTATTCCACGTAGGTGGTCTCATTGTTGACCTCGTTGGAGTCCACCTCGAGCACCTCGCAGCCCTGTGCATAGTCCTCCATATTGAGTGAATCGCTTGCTTCGGCCAACTGCTCCAGCTGTTCAATACTGTGAATTGGTTCCAGTTGCTCGAGCTGCTGGCTGGCGTCGTCCGGCATGGCTTCACGCCGGCGACGCGTCGTCTGAGCCGCCTGCTCCTGCTCAGGCTGTTGCTCTGGCTGTTGCTCTGGCTCTGCCTCAGGCTGTGCCTCTGGCTCTGCCTCAGGCTGTGCCTCTGGTTGTGCTTCTGATTCTGCCTCTGGCTCTGCCTTAGGCTCTGCCTCAGGCTGTGCCTCAGGCTGTGCCTCTGGCTCTGCCTTAGGCTGTGCCTCTGGTTGTGCCTCTGGTTGTGCCTCAGGCTGTGCCTCTGGCTGTGCCTCTGGCTGTGGCTCAGGCTGTGCCTCTGACTGTTCCTCTTGCTGTGCCGCCGGCTGCTGCTTCTTTGGCTCCTGTCCTAGGCCGTCCTCTTCGGATGAGCTACTTGAATCCTCACCAGCTGATCGGCTCTTACGTGATTGGGGCTTCTCCTCTGACGAGCTGTCTTCTTTTTCCTGCTGTTGCTTCTCCGGCTGTTGCTTGGCATCCGGCGTCTCCTGCTGCTGCTTCTGTGCTTGGGCGCCCTCTTCGGATGAGCCGCTTGAATCTGCTCGCCTCCTACGACGCAGACGCACATTCTCCACACTGACTGAATCGTCCTCCATGCTGTGTCCGCCCAGCATCTTGAGCAGCTGCTCATCGGTCTGCCCCGTCTCCTGGAGATCGTCTAGACCCAGCGGCTTAGCCCATGCCACATTTAGCATCAGCGTCGCCGCCAACATTGTTATAAGCAGCCATGAATGCATCTTCTTATAGTTGGCTTCTGCTAGTTAGTTAATCCTTATAGAATTGTGTGTGTGTTTGTTGTGTTTGCCTGTTGTTCGCGCTGCGACTCGTGCTCCTCAACTGACTCGCGTTGCCTCCGACTGTTTCTTATGAACCCTGCCGGCTTACTTATTATCACATTGTAGACTTCTGATTTGCCAGTTGTTGTTGATAGCCACAGTCCCCGCTTGTGTCAGTGCCTGCCATTCCAATTAAAGCAACATCGATTTGCCAGCCGAGCTGCAACCTATGCAGCTGACAGAGGCGACAGAGAAACACCGAATTCATATCGAGAATTTCAGGCTTTACTTTGCTTGCACAACACGATTTCGCATAAAAATTGTATTTTCATACACTATAGACTGAGCACTTTAGGACTGAGATGTAATAGGTAACGCATTGAGTGTATGATTCACATTAAAGTTCTATTTTAATGCCACACAAAAAGTTGCTTGAAATGTCTGACGAAATATGTTAGGCATTGCCGACTGTAAGCAAAGGTAAGATACGTTTATGTAGGACTAGGTTTATATATTAAATATAGGTACAAGAGGAGTCCATATCTTATATTTTCATCATTTTTTAATTTCTATTGAATAAAAAACTTGGTATCTTAGTCAAGAAGACTTTTTGATATAATAATAGGATGTGTCCGTATAATAATAATGAAAAGATTGTATAAATAATAATGGTAGTAATAGATAATAATAATAATATTACCAATACCAGTAATAATAATAATAATAATAATAATAATAATAATAATAATAATAATAATAATAATAATAATAATAATAACAATAATAATAATAATAATAATAATAATAATAATAATAATAATAATAATAATAATAATAACAATAATAATAATAATAATAATAATAATAATAATAATATAATAATAATAATAATAATAATAATAATAATAATAATAAAAATAATAATAATAATAATATTGATAAAAATGAGAATAATAATTTTATTATTAATATTACTAATATTATTATTAACATTATTATTTTTTGAATATTATTGAGAATAATATAATAATAGCATAATATTTATATATGGAAAGGGCATTTAAGCGTCGGCAATCGCAGCATAACTATACGAATCTTATTCATATTTCGGAATGCGCAATTTACTTGGGCGTACTGCCCGCTGGCTGTGTGCAAAATTCTCAAGCTTGACTTGCATAATAAATACAAATTGAGCTGCTGCTCTATGAAATTGATAACGCAGATCAGCAAAGATCAAGCGAAACAAACTGAACGCGCAATTGGCGATTATCGACGAGACGCGAAAAACTAAATAAACCTACACACACGAAAAACAACATGAAAAGCATGAAAAACAACAAAAAACATTTATATATATAAATACGCTACATTTTTAATAAACATACGCAGAGTTTTGATTGGATATCAGTCAGTATAAATAAATGTGTACCACGGTGCGTATGCGCGTTTTGTTTAGTGGCAGACGTTGACCTGGCCCAAGACGCAAATGCCGTTTAATCCGCAGCGGCGACGGCGGCAGAGATAAAGAAAAGCGCCAAGCCTCCACCCACTCCTCCTACAGAAAAAAAAAAGAAAAGGATTTGCCTGACGTGAGCGGCATGCTCAACAAAAGCGAACCGAAAAACTGAAAACCGAAATGTACAAGTGTAAAAGTATCTTTCAGATTGCAAAGCATCTTAACGGCACAATTTGGCGCTCACTTATCCTCGAGCATTTAGCTGACACTTGCGACTTTACGCCCTTTTGGGCAGCATTTAAACTGGACTAGACTGAAAGCAATATAAAAGACAAGCTCAGCGATAAGAGTGAAGGCAAGAAAAGGTGTCGCCGACGAAATTAAAAGCAAATATTTGACAGCTTACAGTGGCTGCCAGAAGTCTTTGGCTGCTTATACAAAAAAATAAGTGGATTCATAGCAAAGGGCTGATTGAATTTGATTCCCCGTTGGGCGATTGCATATTCCATTTGCCTCAAGTTGGGGCACATCAAAAGGCCAAGTGACGAAGCGAAACGAAACGGAATGAAATGAAACGAAATGAAACATAACCAGAACGAATTGAAATGTTGAGCCACTGCATAATTTAAGTGAATTTACAATTTATATATATTTACGCCTCGCTGTCTATACCCTGGCTGCCATAAAAGGCTTAACAGGTATATTGATTTACAGCAGGCAGTTGCTTGTGCCAAGTTTTTGTTTATTTCCGTTTCATTTCCATTGTTCCAATGCGAATACTTTTCGTTTGGTTAAAGTGGTGCTCAGATCTATATTTCCAATTCCAATTAGAATAGTGGAGTATAAGGAAAAATCTCTGTTAAACCTACTTTATAAAGAACTTTACGAAATGATTTAGATATAACAACTCGGAAGGGGGAATCATTTTTTTATGATATATGTTTTATTTCTATGTTTCACTTTTATCTTTCACTTCTATGTTTTACTTTTATGTTTCACTTCCAATGTTCCTATGCAAAAACATTTTGCTGTTTGAATGCGAATTGTTCAGGTCTATTTCGAATCCCATATAGGAGTTTATTTATCTGAAGCTTACATATCATTTGAATATTCCAGCTCGGAATGAAGAATTAAGGCATCATGTTCCATGTTAATGTTTCATGTTCCATTTTAAATATACCTATGCAAAATATGATAGACTGCTTTTATAAAGAAATTTTCAATTACATTATCATATTTCTGGAATGAAGAGAAAGTAAAAATGTTAACCGAAAGAAAGATTGAATACTTTATGCGTAAAAACGATAGATATGTAGATAGATAGATATATTTTCTATTTTTTTGGGTTATAACATAAAAAAATATAAACTTAAAATGGCTTACATATGCATATAAGATTGATCCTTCTGGAAGACAGAACCAACTTGTGGCTATAAAGTATCTTTCAGTCCAAATCAGATGCTGTTCAGCTATTTTGCTTGGATAAGCCGAGCCAAGCCCAACATAACAAACTGGCAACTGCTCAAAAAAATGAAGAAAACATTGCAGTTTACGTATATTTTTTATGTAAATTGCGATTTGTTCGGTTCGGCGGCAACGCGCACTGCAACATTTTATGCAAATCAACGGGCACCTGATGTCCCAAACGAAATATTTGGCTCGTACCAATTCGTGTTCTCTTCTACGTTTTTGTGTTCTTGTTGTTTTTCCTCTACTTCCTTTTTTTTTTTTTTGATTTAGATTTATTAAAAATTTATCAATGTCATAAGTTTGCCGAGTCATCAATCAACTTTAAAGCGGCAAAGATTTGCTTAGGCAAAGAGAAACGAGTCACAGTTGATTTAAGACAAACAAATTTTTTTGGCATTTCCCGAGATGTGCGCTGAATTTATTTTCGGCCTGAAAATATGCAAGGTAAATTGCTTTTTTTATTGTAAATTGAACTTAATTTCCAAATAATTCTACTAATTTCTGCTTATATTTAAAATATTTTTCGATTTGTAATGAACATTTTGATTAAGCAAAAATGTTGCTTAGGCGAAGCATAACAAGTAAGAGGTTCTAGTCGGAAGCTCCCGACTAGGGGATACCCTGAACCCTCTTCTTCCAACATCAAATGCATATATGTATATATTCTATTTTGGAAGCTAGCAAAAATAATATGATTGTTAACAGTTCTGGTAAATTTGGATTATTTGTTTTTTTGTTGTCTCCAAATCAGTTTGCTTTAGATTTGAATGTTAGTTCAGATCTAAGCTTATCATAACACAGACACGTTCTACACAACAGCCAAACACTACAAAAAAAAATATATGAAAAAAATCCTAAAATCTTAAGCCACACATAAACCACACTGCTTCCATGGATACCGAGACAGAGATCGCCGCAGATGGAGCCGAGGCCAAGCCCACGACAAACGAGGCCAAGCCCACGACAAACGAGCCCAATCCGGAGGTGGTCACAGAGATTGCTGTAACAGTGGAAGCGCCTGAAGCTCCAGAAGGTCCCGCAGCTCCTGCAGCTCCTGAAGATCCCGAAGTTCCGCCCAAAGAAGAACAAGAACAAACGGAACCGGAGACCCAAGCAGTTGAGGTACCCGTAGCGCTCAGAGAGGGAGCCGATGAAGCAGCTGACGAAAAAGTAGATGAGGAATGGGACAAGAGCGGCCCGCAAACGGATGAGGAGAAGAGGGCATCACGAAAGATACGCTTGAAGGAGAAAGTCAATTTGCGCTTTAGACTTGGCGAAAGCGATCTTGTGGTCAACGTCGATCCGGATGATGAGCAGGACGACGAGGTGGAGGGTGAGATAACCGAGTCTAGAGAGGCTCTGCCGACCATAGATGATGAGCTACCGGATCTTTCCGGCAAGCAAACATCTGCGCAAGACATGCTGGACGGAGAGATCAACGTCGACGACATATTTGGCGAGGACGATGTCGACGACGACTTCGATGAGCCGGAGGTGCGGGAGCCACCCAAAGGCGATACAATAACGGCGAAGGCGAATTTCCTTTCCTACTTCGAGATGCCATCCTTATCTGATATATCCGAGGAGCATGCTGTCGAGGAGCATAAGGCACACAAAACGAAATCCCTCATTTCGCAAATCAGTACGGCAACCGATACTGGTAAATTTGTGAATCCCCTCACCGGATTTGAAGAGAGCGAGTCGACCAGCTCCTCGACCGAGAGCAGCAAAATGGATGATCTGGCCCTTGATTTGGGCGGCGAAAGTGATGATCTTGACATATACTTTATGGATACTGATTTCCCCGACTTTAAGGACGTCAAGCACATCCAGCTGAGGGAAGATGACGATTTGGAAGCGTTTGTTAAATTCAAGAGCAGCTTCATACGCGATGATATCGTTTACGAGGATCCAGATGAGGTCGAGGCCAAGAAACAAAAAGTGGAAATACATAAAATAACAATGGATTTTCTATACGAAATGTTCAACAATGTGGTCAACGAAATGGAAAATCTTAACGAATCCACAATACTCCGAAATAAAATGGATAAGGCCAAGCTGATGACGACCCTAATAGATGTCACAAATAAGTATTCAATTGAGAAAGAGATCAACGTTTATATCAATACCAAAATGGCCGATTATTTCAAGCGCATGAAAAACTATCGTGTATTCG